TTTATCTGATAAGCAGCCCATTAGAAAATTCCACAATATCCTTTAAATGATCAGAGTTACCTTTTCTGCATGATGTGTGTTTCTTTAATAGCTTTTAAGTTGCTGTATTTTGGGGCCACACAAGGAGCAATGTTACTTGGGCTGAGGGGATTTGATATGGACAATGTGCTGTTTGGTGTGGGAGAGGTGTATATACACGAGTTGTACTTCATCAAGTTCCTTTGTTGTAAAATGGCAGGTGCCAGTATTTATGCTGAAACTGAAGATTAGGTGTCCAGTATAAAAGAGAACATCTCACACCTTGTTAATGGTAGAACATGTGTGGCAACTCATAATCCCACTGAAACAAACAGCAAAATTCATGACAAATTTTAGCATATGACTGTGAACTGAAATCAATTTGAAACTTGCTTTCAGACACCTGTAAAATCATCACTATAACCAATAATGTTTAAGTGTAGATTTCAAGGCCAGAAGGGACCACTGTGATCATCTAGTCTGACCTCCTGTATTACACGGGCCATAGAACTTCCCCAAAATAATCCCTAGAACAGATCCTTTGGAAAAAAACATTCAATTTTGATTTAAAAATCAGCAGTGATGGAGAATCCCTGGTAAAACCATTGATAAACTGTTCCAATGATGAATTACTGCAACTGTTAACACTTCTATCTTTGCTGCATTATTATTGATAATTTTGCCATTTCCATCAAGTAATGGACCAATACCATTGTCAGGATTCATTTTGTTCCTAATATACTTTATTAAAAAAACCCTCCTCCTTATTATCCTTGGCTGTGCTGGCCATAGATTTCTCCTTGTGTCCCTTTGCTTCTCTTACAATTTTTCTATAGTTCCTGGCTTTTGATTTATATTCATTACTATCAACTTCCCTTTCCTCCATTTGCTATATATTATTTTTTTATAGCTGTCTGTTTCAGGATACAAACAACTAGTAACTGTATACTCTCCTCATAATTTTCTAAGCTTTCAGTGTTCTTACAGTGAAACTGATTTCTTTGGCCAAAACTAGGGATAGTGATTAATTAATTCGGTTTTCATATACTATTACTTAATGCTCACCATTTCTTTGCTTTCAATTAGAGTTTCTGAGGGGGCATTCATAGAATATTAGGGTTGGAAGAGACCTCAGGAGGTCATCTAGTCCAACCCCCTGCTCCAAGCAGGACCAACACCAACTAAATCATCCCAGCCAGGGCTTTGTCAAGCCAGGCTTAAAAACCTCTAAGGATGGAGATTCCACCACCTCCCTAGGTAACCTATTCCAGTGCATTAATTTTAACATCCTAGAGGCAAAGGAATAACCCCTTTCCCTGCAACTCTTTCACAGCAGGAAACAATTGAAGCAAAGTGGTAGCTTCCTGGGCTTCCAATTCCTCAGTTATTTTCAGAGCATGGTTAGGAATACCAGAAGGTCTCCTGGAAAAAGACTATTTGGTAGGTTCCTCCCTGGTCTGACAGTAGTAGAGTCAAGGAAACAATTATTTTCTTTCAGTTTTCCCTGGCAATTCATCTCTTTCCCCTCTCGCCCCCCACTGCGAGGTATATGATAAAATCTGCTATACACAGCCATATCCCACCCAGCAACTCTTCTGTGGCAGTGTTTACTACAGTTGGGGACACACAAGGCAGAGAAGAGCCTGAGGGCAACAGGGAAAGCACTCTGACCCACACCGCTCCTTCACTGTGGACTTGCATCTTCAGTTTTGGTCAGCCACTAATGCCGCTAGGGGCAGGAGCAGTTCATATCCATGAAGATCCAAGCTCAAGCAGCAGCCTATTGCCCAATCATCTTTTCACTGCTGTAGCAAAATTTGAGAGCATGAGACCAGGCTTCATGGAGATACTGATCAATGTTCCTTTCCAAATACACCACCTCTCCTCCCTCCCTCCCCAACAAACAGAGAGTGTGAATGGGAGGGGATGAGGAGAGATTGCAGCAGTTATACCGGAGATGTGCCATGAGTGGATGTTGTATGTAGTATACATAGTCCCAGGGATGTACAAACCCCAGACGAGTCAGGAATGAGTTGAGCTGCCAGGGCCTCACCCTGCAACACCTGAAGCAGATGTCAAGCTTCAAGGGGGGGATCTCAAAAGGGAGAGCACAGCTTGTTGGTCCCTGGCTGGGAGGGATAGAAGACTTCTAGCTCTCATGGGAGAGCTGGCTGGGGTTGGGAAGTGAGAAAGATTGCTTCTAACAGATGTAGGCTTGCACCAGTCCAGGTGGAATATCAGCATGAACTCTCTTCTTCCTTTGCAGAGCCTGGGTGGGGTGAAGAGTCTGCTGAGGAGTCAGCCCCGGAGGGGTGGAAGAGTGTGTGTTTTTGTGTGTTTAGTTTGGACTTTGAGTACCTTGGAAAGGTTGGAACTGGCATGACTTTGCTGTAGGGCTAAATGGTCTTGTGTTGGAAAATGGAGGAGGATGGGTGGATTAGCTGGAGACCAGGAGGAAAACAGAGACAGCGCCATTGCCATGCTGTGCCATGCTGGTAGGCAGCATGGAGGAAGGATATAGCCACAGTATATGTGTATCTAGAGAGACAGAGAGAGGGTGAGAGAGAATGTGTCTCTGTCTGTCTGGTTGGAGAGGTGTAGAAAAATTGTTTATGAAGTTGGATCTTTGGTCAATCACTGTGTATCTGGGAAACCTGTATGTTATGATTGGTTTGTATTTTACATGTCTGTAATTCTATTGCCATCCTGAGCAAAAATCAGTGTTGACAGCCTTTCTGTATTCTTCCTTTAAGGGGTGGGGAGAAACAGAATGCACAGACCCCATGAAATAATACAATGCCTCTAGCAATGGTTATCAATTATTGTGCCCAGCTGGTAAAGCAGAGCCTAATGTGCACAGGTCAGTTGGAAGAAATAATCTCATTCTGTCCTCTAGATTCTGTCTCTCTATTTCTGGAGAAGGCAACAGTATGCATGGTGGTTAGGCAGGACAGAGTGAATTACTGTGAATTCTTCAATTATAAGCAAATAGCTGCACAATCTCTGAACTTCCTATGTATGTGTATCTTTCATACACACTCAGTAACAGAAACACTACGGTGTAACCTGGCCGTAAGTGATTATACAATAATATACAAAAATACTTTTTCGCATTTGATTTTCTATAGCCCTTTTAAAATAGTTTAATCATCTCCAGTAAGAATTGTATTCAAATTTGTGTTTTGATTTCTGCTGAAACCTCAGTAGTATCCATCTCAAGCTTTTATGTTGTCATCAAATGTAATTTTAAAAAAAGAAAGAAGAGAGATTAGCTATCATTCCCAGGATGCAGCTTTCATCTTAAACTTCAGAATTGCTTTATTGATTTCTGGTCTTTGTGAATCCTGATACTGTGTCTGCTTGGGCGTACACACACAGACTGTAACCTTACCAACCTCTTTCTGCTGGAGGAGAAAGTACAATGCAAAGACTAGTCATCAAAGAAGATTCCATGAACTTAATTTCTTGTTAATCATTCTCTTCCTATGGTATGACATACTTTTTGCTGGTTTAGTTTTATTATTTCGTGTATTTTTTTTTTATTTTTATTTTTTATGTTGCTCATGGCTATTTACCTAGTTAGTGTGTTTTCTTGTCATTACATTTCTTTAGGGCATTTGGGCAATATAATTATTTTACGTCCTTACTTTTTTCCCTCCAGTTTGATCTAGAATCTTTGTATGGATCATAGAAATGTAGAGCTGAAAGGCACCTCAAGTGGCCATCAAGTCCAGCCCCATGTGCTGAGGCAGGACCAAGAAAATGTAGACCATCCCTGATAGGTGTTTGTTTAACTTGTTCTTAAAAACCTCCAATGATGGGTATTCCACAACCTTTCTGGGAAGCCTGTTCCAAAACTTAAATCCCCTTCAAGTTAGAAAGTTTTTTCTAATATCTAAACTAAATCAGCCTTGCTGCAGACTAATCCCATTAGTTCTTGTCCTTCCCTCAGTGGCCATGGAGAACAATTAAGATACATTGCCTGAGTTTTTAAAAAGGTGCTGAATGCTCCTAACTCCAGTTGAAGTCTCATCTAAAAGTCAGATCTACAGCCTTGCTTGTTCTTACGTCACTATTTTTCTGTTTGTGGATCTGCATCTATAGCACAAGGCTTCCTCTAGCTATACTGCAGCTGCGTTTTCCTGAAGTCCAGCTACTGTGCTGATCAGGATCTGCTTCTGTTAGTTAGGTCAGAGCTATTTCTAAAAATCACAGGGTGTCATTTTTGGCTTAATTTTTTTTTAATTAATTTTAAAAGTCATTTAATATAAAAGAGAATGGTAAATTATTAAGTGAGTTCAGTAAAACATTAAAAAGAAATCTGTAGAATACAAATGCAGAAATATAATCATAAATATTTAACAATACAAAACTAGACTAGAAAAGGGCCTAGGAAGAATTTAATGTTAGAGCATGAAGTTGTCTGACTCAAAACCTGGTATTTCCTCTCCTGTGAGATTATTCATATAGCTTGTAGTTGATGTCGTTTTGCCTTCATTGTCAAAGGAACCCAAGGGAATTAGGCACCCAGTCCACACTGAACTTTAGTGTGAGCTAGGCACCTAACTTCTTTGGGTTCCATTGTAAATTCCAGTCTTTAGGTGGCCAAAAGAATGCTTGGCCCCTCATAGAGCATAGAAAAGGTATGATCTTTCCCCAGAGAGTTTACAGACATGGTGCAAAAGTGATAGGAACAGATAACGTTTGGGCGGAGTATTAAAAAAATATCTATGGCATGTGATGCTATTTATGCTAACCTTTTGCTTGATTGCCAGAGTTTCAGAACTGAACGCTGAACTGTATATTGTTGTTCTAAGCGCCATTAATAAAATAAATGCACCAACTTCCAGTTGTATTTAAAATGGACTGTTATAATAAAAATGTCATTCACATGTTCATATCTTCAGATTGATTTTAAAATGTGCCTGCCCAAAGATTTCGGTTGATGTATTAAAACATATATTTTTTTCCCCTCACCCCAGATTGGTATCTTGGCTGACTAGAGTCCCAAACACTTCAGGTCCTGATGGGGGACTCAGGATCAAGACGTTCAACTCTTGTGTCTCGACTGCCAATATTCAGGAGAAGTATTAGTCGAAGACATGACTCCCTTCCTTCCTCACCCTCCTCCATTAATACTGTGGGTGTCCATAGCTCCTCTCCCTCCAGCACCAACTCAAGCTCAGGTAGTACAGGCAAGCGAAGGAGCATATTCCGCACACCTTCCATCAGCTTCCACAACAAGAAGGGGAGTGAACAGAAGTCTGAATCTGCAAGCCAGAATGTAAATATTTCAAATGGTGCTCAGTCAACTCACAACAATTTCCAAAAACCGAGCTTGGAAGAACATGTTAAAAGCAGAGGGAGGCATTCAGTTGGTTTCGGCAGTTCACGGAGCAAGAAGATAACAAGATCTTTGACGGAGGACTTTGAAAAGGGGAAAGAGCCATCAAGTAATAAGAATGTCTTTATAAATTGCATACGTTCTGGAAAAAACGAGGGCGATGACTCTGGCTTTATAGAGGAGCAAAGTAGACGATCTATTAAGGAATCCTCACGGAAACTTCTCCCGAAATCTTTCTCATCACACTACAGGTTTTCAAAGCCAGTCCCCCAGAGCCAGTCAGTTTCCTGTGTACAACAGTCTGGATGCTTGTTGGAAATTAAACCATATGTTGAAAGCGACCCTGTAACAGTAAGGTCCTCTCCATCATGTTCTGCTGAGATAACAGAATGTGCAGGAAGTTCTTTGCAATCACCTCAACTTTCTGCAGACCTCACCACAGTCCAGACCCCTTCGGAATTTTTAGCCTTGACCGAAGATTCTTTCTCAGAAGTTGATGTGGTGCCCAATAGTGGAAACACGGCACCACACACAGAGAACTTTGACAATAATACTTCTACCTCTCAGATTTTCCTCAGTCCTGTTGTTGCTTATGTGAGGAAAATAGATCATGTAGAAAGTACTTCCCTGTCTGCTGTTATATCTCCTGTGAATCATACAAGCTTTTGTAGTACTGAATCAAATACCTTACCTAAAAATACTGCTGCTAATCAAACACAAGTATTATTGCAAACTACTGAACTTCCTGTTAAAGATGCCGGGCACATAGGAGAAATTAACTCAGCAGATGCACAGTTAGAAACGTTTGTGTTACATCATGAAGAAAAAACAGTGGAATGCTCTCCAAAGGCTAGTGGATTATGTGGGGACCAACATGAAATAACGTTATCTGAGTACATTAGAGAAACAATTCCTGTAACAGAATCGAAGATTATTCCCTCCTCCTCTGAATCCCGATCCTTTAAAACACAACAGGGACATGAAATAAATCACTCTAAAGGTACGTCACATGGATTTTTGCCTTGATTCTCCTGAAAAAGGTGTTCAAAATTGTAAAGTAGCTTTACACATTTGCAGTATTGTAAACCCCAAAAGTGAAAGAGCCAAAATTGTGCTTTTGTTTTCGAAAGGTTAAATCCATGTTTTTTATCTGTCTTCTAATTTTTAGCTTACTCAGCCCACTCTCAATGTGTGTGACGATGATAGAGTTGTCAACTCTTGCAAATTTATGAGTAAAGTAATTTTGGCCAATGAATCTCTTGATTTTGGGAGGGCTGTGTTTGTGTGTGAGGGGGTGGGGGAGTCTTGCTCATGATTTTTGATCTTCTGAGGTTGGCAATACTGGAGACAACCATAAAACACTAGGCAGCAGGATACATGGTTTCTGTTCCTGGCTGTGGGAGCAGGCGGTGGTGTAATGGTTGCAAATGGCATAGCCAAATGCAACAGTGCCCCTGTTTGGGTCATCTGGAGACATGGAACCTCAGATCACTGATTGTAAAAGCATGACCTTGTGGTACTTGAGCTGAAGAATCACATCTTTTAGGATGAAGTATAGCAAAGTCAAAAACTCTAGGGATATGTTTACACTGGAATAAAAAACCTGGGGCACCGAGTCTCAGAGCCTGGTTCAGTTGATTGAGGCTCATGAGGCTTCGCCTGCAAGGCTAAATAATGCAATGTAGACATTCAGACTCTGAGACCTACCACACTCACCAGGTTTAAGAACCCAGGCTCCAGCCTGAGCCCAAATGTCTACACTGTAATTTTTAGCCCCACAGCCTGAACCCTGCTGGCCCGAATCAGCTGACCCAGGCCAAGTGCAGGTGTTTTGTTCCAGTATAGATGCACCATAAGTGTAGTCTAACTGTGAGAGGGTGACATGAGGCCGCATTGTGTTAGTGTGAATTACAGAAGTGCCTAATTTTGCATATTGAAAGACTGCATATTTTGAAAGATTGTGAAATAAAATGGCTAAGACTTGCTTTTGTTATATTAAAGACCTGAATTCTATTGCCATCTCTGCCTAAAGTGACCTTGTGCAAGCGCTCAGTTACCTAATTGGTGAATAATAATTACCCTCCAAGGTTGGAGTATGAGACTGGCTCATAATTAGGATTGTGAAGTACCAGAAATATTAACAGCCATCAGTGGAAAATCTGGGTTTAGAATTTATGGTCTCCGGTCCTGCAGTTAAATACACTATCCTCTAGATATATTGTGCCCATGTTTTGTTTTCCCAAAGTAACATGAAGGCTGCATCATCATGAGACTGGTTGCAGGATGAGCCAAAGTCACGTTATTCACAAAGTCACATCTTTGCTGTTTGCAGAGATGAAAAATACACACTCCACAGAGTCTGTCTCACTTCTGTCTGCCCGTGGTGGTAGTTGTGGTTTATTTATTTATTGTCTTTTTGTCATGAGAGATATTGGAATTAATAGTAATGGCAAATTTTTTAAACTGTATGCATAGGTTGAAAGTATTTCAATTTTCTTTGTATCAAGTAATACATTCCACTTTCATCTTCAGTTGCCTAAAACAATACATTCTGAGTTAACCATCTTTCTGTTTTTGTTTCACCGTATATTCTGCAGCTCAGCAGAGCACTATGTGGCACATGTTT